ATAGTATTACTGTTAATACATTGTAAGGAGTTATACTTTAACTTCAAACCTACTTAAAGACGTTGCACGCATGTGTGTTGCTTGTCATGAATCTCTTGCAGATGTTTTGGGCCTGGTAGTTGCCAAGGAAAGCGTGCAACATGGGCCAGAGAACTGATGGATGAAGAGGCAGAAGAATTTTTGCTTCATGGATTCATAGATCCAGATCTTGATAGGCCTTGGTTGGCTCGGAGAATGGGCTTGTGTGTACCATATTCAGCGTAACCAATCGTGTTTAAAGAAAGGTTACTGAGTGTTAAAACTCTGTTCCCTCAATTGTACGCTTCCTGTTGTTTTTAAGTTGGTTCGTCTCTCTTTTGTATGCTATGTATATTTGTTAGCCGTTGCTTGACTTGCTTCCCCTTCGTACTAAAGATAATCTTGATAGATTTCGTTTCAAGTGCAATAAAAAAAGTGGAAGTTATGTTTGTGTGTAATGAGTTGCATAATCCTTTAGGGGCTGTTTACTTTAACTTAATGGACTCAATGATAAAGATGATTTAAGCATTCAGCCATTAAGTCATGTTTACTTACGACTTAATTGGAAACATGACTTAATCATTTAGTAAAAGACTGACTTAATCATTAAGTCCGAGGATAGCTGTCCTTGGCAAGCTATTAAGATGTTTTTTCTGTCATTTTTTTCAAATTGATTGTTGAATAGATTTATATTAATAAATGAAGTTTTTCTTTGACATTATAATATAAGAATAATACTAAATTGATTATTTTACTCAATTTAGACTATTTTTTCAGTTTACAAAATAAACAAATTCATATACAAATATCACTTAGTCCACACAGACATCTTAATTTAGACATGACGTTTTAACCCATATAGGAGTTAATAGAGAAAAAGTAAACAAGCCCTTGGGGGCCTGGGGCTATTCACTTGTGATTTAATGGAATAAACGGGACTCTAAATGTAATTGTTCAGACATTAGGCAATTTTTTCTCACTTTTTAATTGAAACATGGTTTTTTCATTTGATAATTTTTTAATTCATGATACAATATTCTATCTTTATTAAAACGTCTGGGCAATTTTTTTGATATGGTCATGGAAAAGGTGTATGTTAATAAATGACCATGAATTATTCAAGAAATGATGGCACATATATTACTTTGGGACTTTAGATTGACAAAAATATAACCATTTTTCCAATTGACAGAAAAGTGACTTAAACATCCTGTCCATCCTCTTTCTTCGCACACAGCCCATCTGCGCGTCTCTTTCTCATCCGGTGCTTTTCTTCGCAGGCATCAAACGCATCAAGAGAAGACGGAGCCATCGATCTTCATCACGGAACATCATCCTTAGCTGCTTGTATCTCTCCTTCTCCTTTCTTCTTGTACGCGAAATCTCGTCGCCGTCGGATGATGATGCTTCCTCCACTACCTTGACTATCACCGTCGTCATCTCCCCCCGCAGACAGAAGAGACAGATTGTCTCCATCGCCTTCATCCTCACCCCTGCCTCTCCCTACACACTTCTTCCTTTTCTTCTCTTTCTACCAGGTTGTGATAATGTGAATCAGATTCCGCCGTCAACATTGGAGGAGCTGAAGTTGCTGCTGGTCGATCTATTCGATTCTGCGACGGCGAACTTCTACATATCCAGCTCCAATTGGCGATTGTGAAGTAGGCGATTATGTCAATCAGTGACTGTGGAGGCAGCGACTAGGGTTGTCGATGGTTTATTAGGATCAGGGATGGGCAAATTAGTTCTAGATCGGAGTTGTGGAGGGCTGTGGCGGTTGGGGAGGGGGTTAGTGTTTGGAAGTAGGGTTGTGGCTGGATGATGGAGGGGGAGGGGACTAGGGAAGGCGCAGGTGCAGGGTAGTGCTGGCCGGCGGAACTGAGCAGTGGGCTGGAGGTCAATGAGATTGGGGTGCTTGAGTGTGAGGCCTGTGGTTGTCAGGGGCTGCGGTGGCGGGGGCCGCCTGAGAAGTGCGAGGGAGAGATGTCACAGATGGGGCGGTTGCTCACTATTGGGCAGCTACGAGTCATTGACGGTGGTGTAAAGTTTTGCCGGAATAGGTTGTCGGAAAATTTTCCGACAGTTACAGTGACATTTTTCACGGCAATAGTGACATGTTTTACGGCAATAGTGACATTAAAAGTGACATAAATATCTGATAGTGACATATGATAGTGAAATAAAAATGTGATAGTGATATAAAAAATACAGTGACATAATGTATTTCCAAATATGTGACATTCTTAGTCACTTTGTTGTCGTTTTAAAAAAATGATCACATTTTTGGAAATCACGTTTGATTTGATAATATTCAATGAAAAAGCCCATTATACAATACATCATTCATTGTCATTTCTCCTGTGACGCACCATGAATTTGTTTTACATAACTCAGATTGTTTATTTAGATCTTAATTTAAATTTAAACAAAAAGAATCTTATTTCATGTCGGACTGAATTACAGATTATGGAACATATATGCTCTGTGGGAATGTTTACCATTTTTCCCCTCACTTGAGATGCGATTTAAAATTAATACGTAGTAATAAAACATCCTATTACTTTATTGTTTGTTTCATTTTAAAATCAATAAATCTATTCTTTCACAACTCTGAAAATGGTTTTTTATTAATACAAATGACTTAAATAGAAACATTTGAAAATGCGTGCTTCTTTTTGCATGTTGTGTGGAATAAATAAATCACACTACTACCAGGCTGTGCATCAGAATACAGTGAAAGAAGGGAAAATTAATACGTAGTATCAAAAAATACAATAGAAATTGCTCAATATAGGAGTAAATATAAACATAATTGCACAAATAGGGGTAAAATTTAAAACTTCCTTCAATAGGAGTAAACATTAATTTTGTACCCTTAATATCCCTAACATAGTTAATTCTAAAATATGACTTATTTAATCCTAACCTAGTTAATTTATGACTTACTCGATAATAATAATTTATTTATTTATTTATTTTTCAAAAAATAAAATAAAAATTAAAATAAAAAACTCAAAAAAATAAAATAAAATTCACCGCCGCCTCAGCACCACCACCTCCAGTCACCAGGGGAAAAAATGCCAAGTTCATTACGAATGCCATATATATGGCAGAAAACAATGAAAATGTTGGCATTCGCAAAGAGAAATATGCTATGTTTTTGGCATTTTCAGAAAAAATGCAGTTTTTAGGAAAAATGGATTTTTTTTTCACCGCCCGAAGGTGGTGGTGCAGGGAGGTAGTACAACCGGTGAGAAAGGCATCCATATTTTTTTAATATTTTTTGGAGTTTTACTATTTTTTATTAATTTTTTTTAAAAAAATTAAAAAAATATTTTATTTTTAAATTTTTTATTTTATTAATATTTTATAATTTTTTTAATTTTTTTTTCTACGATTTTTTGAATTTTTTTCGAATTTATTATGAATTAAACATTTAATTAATAGTTGTTGGGACTTGGGTAGGGATATACTTGTCCAAACACTAAAGTTACTCCTATTCAAAATATGGTACTCCTATTTTTGCATATTGTCTATGTTTTGCTCCTATTTGGGAAATTCTCTCAAAATACAATTCTTAGCATAGTTTCTACTTTCTTTTAATGCATACATAAAATTTATAGTATAAACATATGCAAATATTTCAAAAAAAAAAAAACATATGCAAATACAAATTAATATACTTTTAGTTTGTATTGTTAGATCACATACGCAACATAATATTTTCTTTATATTTAATCAAAAAATTTATTTTGAAATATAGTTTCCCTAAAAACTTTTGTTTTTCCTGTTCAGGCCTCGTGCTCTTTTACTCATTATGGAATTGATAAAATTTCATAATGATCATGGAGAGTATATGATTTGGAGTCATAAATGATTTTTTAAAATTTTTGTACTAGTAATAAATAGATGATTTACAAAATATGATTAGTGACTAATGAAATCATAATAATTCATGTTCAAGTTTTGAACTTAAATTACCATAACACCACATTGTAGTAATAAATAGTCATATTTATGTAAATATATTATATTTACATAAATATTACGAATTTTGTAAATGACATAAGATCTTGCGGAACAACATACTCAATAAAACAGTATAATAACACTTGTGATACGTAATTGATCCAGGGAATTTAATCTCTCGAAAAAAAATTTAATCCAATAAATTGAGATTATCCGTGCCAATTCATAAAATATTAAAAACAGGATTCCAAGATGTCTTCTCAATATCCTTTGATTAATCATTTAATAATATATAGAAATTACCCTAAATAGGAGTAAAAACATTTTAAAATTCCAAATAAGGAGTATCATGTTTTTTATTTCTTGAATATGAGTAATCTGCCAAATTTGAAAAAAATGTCATATTTAAAAGGCTAGTAAGGCCAAACTTGACAGAAATTTACTCTTATTTAGGGAATAAAAAAATGATAGTCCTATTTTGGAATTTCAAAATCTTTTTACTCCTATTTAGGGAATTTACTCTTTAATATAATAAATAATACTCGGTATATTTTAAGAACGACTAATGATTTAAATGATTAATTTTGATTTAAATGATTAATATAAGAAATAATACTCGGTATATTTTAAGATGTGTTAATGAATATAATTTTGATGACAATTACCAAAATTTAAAAACGAAGGGGAGGCTGGAAGCATGACTAAGTTTAAGAACACTCTGATAGCCAGAGAGGTAGCCAGGTATTGGAGACAGAAAATTTAATCCCAGAAATCTTTCCCAAAAAAATAAATTAATTATTCCAAGAATTTTGGATTATCCGGGACCATTCATAAAATATTAAAATAGAAATTAAAAGGCAAACGTTATCTCAATTATTATTTTTAATTATTTAATTAACAAAAAATCTGTTTGTACTCACTTTTGTACTGACCCCTATTTTGCTTGTACACACAGCTTCGAACAAGTAATATTTTGTCTGCTTTTGTCTGTGTACACACCAAATAAGAGTGGTATAAAAGTGCGTACAAAGTGGGTTAAGACTCTTTAATTAACCATTTTCTTATACCTACCGTGGCCTTTTGTTTCATCGGATATATTCTTTGCACGGAAAAAGTTTGGTTTTTGAGCTGCCATTGGAATCGATACTTGTTTTTTTTGCGGTTCGGTGCGAAATCCGAATAGTCTCTGGGGCGTTGCTCGGTTTTTAGGTGTTGAATTTGGGGATGAAGAACATACGCTGACTTTTCTGCTTCTGAATTTAATGTTTTGAAGCTCTACTGGATCTGATATACTCTGTTCGGAGAGTTGGCGACTCTCTTATGCTTGAATTTATTTGAAACAGTGGATTTGAGCTAATGGTTTTGCTGTCAATGTTGTGAGACTGGATGAATCTAGAGCTAAGATGAAGAGAGGGAAGGATGATGATAAAATATCGGGGCCAATGTTTCCTAGGCTTAATGTGAATAATCCTGACAAGGGAGGACCAAGAGCTCCTCCAAGGAACAAGATGGCCCTGTATGAGCAGCTTAGCATCCCCTCTCAGCGGTTCAATAAGGGAGTTTCGTCCCCAGGCCCTAAAAACGCTTCCAACACGATCCTACCACCCTCTGCCAGCCAGGTAAGCTGAGAGTTCTCTCTCTGTAATATCTATTTCATTGTTCAGTTAACTTTTTAGGGAGAACTTTTTATGACTCTGGTTGAGCGCACCAATTTCCAGAACTCATGCAAAATCATTAGCTCTGTTATTTTGAGTTTTGCCTCCACTGGTTCAGTGTTCATGGACGCCTTTTTTCTGTTTTTATTTTGTTCCATGAAAGGGTAGTCACCAACCATACAATCAGAGTATCAGGTGGATGAGCTTATATCCATGTCATGGAACTGAGCTTTTAGAGTCATGTCCCACCCTGTATGCTCATGTTCCACACTTCCACCCCATATTATTGGTGCGGATTTGCCTAGTGTAATGTCCCACCCCCATATGCTCATGTCCTATCCCCATGTTACTGCCTTACTGGGTTCGGCTTTTCCAGGAGGGAGCTGTTTAGCTAGCCTCAGTGGAATATTTGGGCTTGGATTGGTGGTGGAAAATTAGTTGTAAGCTTGTAGTAATGCAGTTGAAAATAGAGCAGCGTATAAATATCTATTCCTATAATACATCGTAGATAGGGGGTTTAGTATTTGTGAATCTCTAACATTCCAATAATTTTTAGAAGTTCATGTATCATATCTAGAGAAAATAGAGCCGATTAAATTGCGAGCTTTGCCCCACATGAAATGATTGTGTTGTTTACATCCTACACTCTTTCCTCTCTAGTCTGGATTATATTTTGTACACTGCTCTCTAGTCAGAATCATGTCGTATATTTGTGATTCTTTTTACTGCGAAATGGATTTTTTCTATCAACCTCATATAGATCTCCTTCCTACAGTATTGCGGACATGAAAGAAATATGTTTCCTCCATGGCATTTGCCACCATCAACACATTTAGCTGAGAAATTACATGTGCGCGGTGCTGATTCAAAGATTCATCCAGCACAGTCCGAGTCCCGAAAGAAAACGGATGAAGATGATTTTAGAGTTCCCGTCTTCTTTAATTCTAATGCCAGCCAAGGTATTAGGAAATTTTATAATAAGTCAGAGGGGGAAAAGGTTTCCACCTCAAGTCCAACGTTTCGTATGCATCCCGGTAAAGAGGCAAAGTTCACAAGTGGAGACAATTTGAGAGAACAGAAGACCTCAAAACAGCTACCTGCGAGACTAGAAAAAAATGTTAATATTTCCTTGAATTCACCATCCAGCGATAAGAAGAAAAACTGTTTAAAACATTCTGAACCGAGTGTTGGTCCTGCCAATACCTTTTTCCCGTCATGCAAGAGCGGAATAAATCTATATCCCAGAAAAGTAGATCATTGTAAAGTTTGTACCACCAATGATGGTGCTAATATAAATGGGCCTATTCAGGATGCGGAAGATGGTGATTCTTCTAACCCAATTAATGGGTTTCAAACCGAAGAGCAAATTATTAATCTTGTAAATGATACAGAGTCTCCAGAATACCGGACTGGTGGATTGCTACAAACCGGTATTGTTGATAGACGCAACAACACTTCTTGTATGTCCGGAATAGAGATATCTCCTGATGATGTTGTTGGGATGATTGGTCAAAGTCACTTTTGGAATGCCAGAAAAAGTATTATGAAGTAAGTCCATTTTTGAAATGTTCATTTTCTCTCTTTTAAATTTTTAATTCTTCATATGTTTTTTTTTATTTGGCTATGTCTTTTTTTAACATGCATGTTTTTTCATTTTGGGTTCATTTGTTTAAATGATTTGAAAACACTCTTATGGTTTCAAATGTTTTGTTTTGAAAATGTGTTTTTTGGGTTTTAAACAGTCACTTGATTTTTGAAAGGAGCCTTTGTCCGAGTATTTTGGTAGTCGCTACTGATAACTCAATTTTAAATTGATCGGAAAACCAGTTTATGGATATCTGTTTGGTGTAAAAATAATGAAAGAGAAAATATCTGTTTGTTAAATGACTTGCTTTATAATTTAAAATGTTTTGTTTTGACAGTGTGTTAATTGTGTTGAAAATATTGTGCTTTGGATTAGGAAAACCGCCTTTCGTTCGAGTGTTTGGAGAGTTGCTAAATAAACCTCTATTTTAAATTGATTGAAAAATCTGTTTTTGGATACTAGTTTCGCGCAAATTAATAAAAAATAAAACTAATTTTATTAAGACATATTAGTAAAATTTTTACAGAACACTCTATAAATAACCTATTATCTGTAAAGCTTGACCAATTAGCTTTTTACTAGTAATTGTGTTTTGGTACATGTGATTGCGAAGCTAAACAGCCCATTAGCTGTGAGCTTAGTTCTATGTCCCAGCCTTTAACATTCGTGATTGTAAACATGATCTAGATAGAAAATCATACCTTGATCTTCTTTCTCAATGTCGTCCTTCTCAGCCAAACACTCAATTGAATACCCTTTATCTTTGCTATTGACTGCCAAATGCAAATGAATAAAGTTTAATTGGGTATCAAGAGGCTCTGCAGTTTTAGTGTGTCATGATTTTCTTTTTCTACTTAACAGTGTTTGATTAATGACTCAATTTCTTGTTTATGCACAATTTACTGTATGCATTTACAAGCTATTTTCCATCTGTTCCCTGACTCCCTCCCATTGATTTTACCTCTATTACAGTCAGCAAAGAGTGTTTGCAGCTCAAGTGTTCGAGTTGCATAAATTAATAAAGGTATATACTTTTTCTGCAAACTCCAGTGTCACGCGAATGAGTTTGTCTAGTACATGGCACTACAAATTTATAAATACAGGAACCCCGCTTTCAACAATATATGAATAAGTACAACACTAGCCGGGTATGCCAGTAGTAGTAGACTATTAGGTGTTCTAGTAAGTAGTACTAGTGTCCCCATCGGTGGAGACTCTGATTATGGCTGCTACTATCGGGCACCGACACTGGCGATGTTTGCTGTTATCTAGCACTGCCTGTAGTTGCAACCCTGGTACGATCTGGCTCCATTGTCAACTGCGGCGTTGCAGTCTAGTGCTGCTGGCGTCGTTGGGGTGGCACTGTCTGGTGCCGACAGCACACAGATGCCACCTGAGATAACAGTAGATACAGGCATACAGCTACTGTGCAGCCACAATGGCCATCCTTATTCGGAAAATTTAGCCCTTTGATGTCTAATTCCAAATTAATTGAACTTTTTGCTAGCTAGTATTACACTATTTTGTAATCTGTATTCTTATTTAATTGCTATTGTCATGGAGTAATATATTCTTATTCAATTGCTTTGTCCTGTGTTGACAATATAATTAGCTTATTCAAGTGTAACAGGTTCAGAAGCTCTTAGCTGGGTCTCCCAATCATGCGCTCGATGATGCTTCTGCTTTTTTAGGCAAACCTTTGAACAGTTCTTCCCTAGAAAGGTTGCCATCCAAGTGTATTACAAAAGCAACTCAAAATGTTTCAAACCACAAAAGCAATTCTGAATTGCTCCACCTAAGAAAGGAATGCTCCACAGAAGATACTATGGGTAGATCGTCATCTTCTTCTGTGCAAAATGTTACTCAAACTCCAATTGATAATCCCATCCCAGGAAGAACACCATTGGCGGTGGCAAGCAATGATCCTATCATGGGTCCGTTATTTTACCGTCACCCCTCGGGGGACCAATGGTTGATTCCAGTGATGACTCCATCTGAAGGTCTTGTATACAAACCATATCCTGGACCTGGATTGACAACTGCTGACTGTGGCCCACCAGGGTCCACCCCAGCAATGGGAAACTTTTTGGCTCCTGCATATGGAGTACCAGCTTCTCAATATCACTCTCAAGGAATGAGTGTTCCTTTTGCATCTCCAGCAGATCATGGCTATTTTCCTCCATATGCTGTGCCATTAACTAATCCCGATGTCTCGACTTCAGGTGTTGAACAGATGAGCCCATTTCCTGCGACGGGCTCTTCAGTTCATGTATCAGGTGCAGAGGGCAACTTTAAACCCCAAAGCTCATGCAACACGCCAAGTCAAAAAGGTGGGGCCGTTTCAGATAATGAGCTGCGAGCAAGCTGTGCTAGTAGTGCCAGTGAAAGAGCACAGGGAGTGACAGTAAGTGGTCCCACACAAGGAAACATCATTCTTCCTCCATTTTCCACATCCCCTGCTGTCAACATGGACGCAAGTCAACCTCCTAATACTGCTCATCCTCCAAGGGTAATAAGAGTTGTGCCTCACAATGCTAGATCTGCATCTGAATCTGCTGCTAGGATCTTTCAATCTATACAAAAAGAGAGGAAGCAATATGACTCTAGGTAGCTGTTGCAGATTGGCCAGTTGCGGTCTTGTTCTCTTTGGCTGCAATGTATAATGTATTAACTAAATGCTGTGTAGCAGGCAGTTATTGTATGCAGAAAGTCATGATTTGATCTACCTTAGGTGTAGGGTAATATATCAGCCAGGCCTCTAGCTGCGCTATTAAAAATATGTGGCTTGCTCCCTTTGCTTTCATTGATTTAATTTGTAAAACATAAATGTCAGACATGCTAAAGGTAAATGCCCAAAGTTATATGGACAAGGGTCCTCAACTCCTATGGTTCAGGACTTTGGGTAGTGAATTGCGAACACTTTGAGGCGGATTACCAAGTTAGAAGCTTGTTTACTTTATTGTTTTCCAAAATTAGAAAATGGAAGCATTTTTTAATCTCTAAAAGTAGAAAACCCATTTTAGTCGTTCTCTAAATTCTGAGATGGAGAATTCGGTGATACAGTAATGGTTGACACAGTTCTGGATCCGGATTAGACTGGAGTCACTGGACTATTGGGTTAAGAACTGGGTATTGTAACCAGTCTTCCTGGTCGTCGATATAATTTGGTCAGGGTAGGGCGGAAACGGCCAGTCACGTCCGTTCCCGGAAAATCTAAGAAGATTTTAGTTTCAGTTAGTTTATAGTTCGTTCCTGGCAAATCTCTGAAGATTTCAGTTAGTTTCTAGATGTCCTTTTTGTTTACTAGTTGAACAATCACTGAATCACAGGGGCACACTGCTTCTATTCTTGCCCAAAAGTTAGACTTACCTGGACATATTATAAAGGTATATTGCAACTTGCAAGTAGAGGTTTCTGTTCATCAAGAAGCCAGGCAGGTTCTTTTCAGTTGACTAGGGGCTAATTCACATGCAATGAAAGAAGATTTGCCCTTATCATCTCCTTCTTAATACTGATGCGGTGATACAAGATTCTGAAGGTAATTTTCAGGTTCTTTTCCTATTAAAGAAAACTCTGTTCTCAATGATGAAGCAAAAGTGATTAGTGTTGAATGGATTCAGAGTAGGGGTGGATTCGGGCCGGGTCGGGCCCGGTCGGGCCGCCGGTTCTAGAATAGTGGGCCCGGGACCGGCCCGAGGGTTGGACGGGTCCGGTTCGGGCCGGGCCACCCGCCCGGGTCACGGGTCGGGCCACCCGCCCGGGTCACGGGTCGGGCCACCCGCCGGGCCGGGTCGGGCCGGGTATTTTTTTTAAAAAATGTATATTTTATACTTTATAGTTTTATACAAGTATTAAAAAACAAACTTCAAGTGCATTTATTTGAAATGAAATAGGAACTACATTTGAAAATTAAATAGGAACTATAATTGTTTTTAAACGGAATCTCCGGCATAAGTAGAGCCACCCTCTGTAGATTCATCCATAAAGTGTTGGGATGGAGTGATGTCAATTTCTTGAGCTCTACGTGCTGCTTTCAACCAATCGTGGTAGCATATAAGCATCTCAAGAGATTCAGCGCTCAACCTCGTTCTGGTTTGTGTTAGAACATTGCCGGCCGAACTAAATTCTTGTTCCACGGCAACCGTTGAAACCGGCATTGATAGAACTTGCTTAGCCATCTTTGCTAAAACCGGGAACATTCTTTCTTTTCCCTTCCACCAGTTTAGTACGTCAAAATCATCATCTTCTTCAAAATCAACATCATAAGTTAAATACAAAGAAATCTCATTAATTGTGCTTTGTTGTGTAGCGGGAGTTGATTTTGTTTTTTTAATAAGATTGGCAAACGTAGATTTGAAAATTGATTTTCCTTTAGATGATGTTTGTGTCGGGGGAGGGGGCGCATTGCCATATTGTGCATGAAACTCATTGAATAATGCATAAAATATATCACTAACCTCGTTGTATTCTTTTTTCGGATCAATTGGGTTGTCCTCATACATTGGCAATGGACCAAAAAAAGCAGCATAATAATAATTCAAACATTCTTCTAAAGAACCAAGTCTAAAACGAGGATCGAGAACAAATGCAATACCATAAATATGCGGAATATGTGAATAATATTTTAAAAACTTTTCCTTCATAAAACCAGCAAAATAATTCACATAATCAGCATTCTCAAAATTTGAAAAAGCACCGGCGAGATTAACCGCTTCACGAATAAATTGGTTTGAGGTAGGTTTATAAACATGACTAAAAGTTTCAGTTGCATTATTAAAATATATCAAAACTTTACAAATTTTTTCACAGGTGTCGATCTTAGCCGAGTTTATAATATAGTTATCATATTGTTTCATAAAAGCAGGAAAATGTTGTTTATATCTAAGAAGAACTCCAATTAACTTATAGGTACTATTCCAACGAATAGACAAATCTTTTGGAAAAACCACATATCTCTCACCTCTTTCTATCAAATAATCATGCCATTTTTTCCTAAGGTGTCCATTACCCCAAATACGTCTAATCCCCCCTTGACTACCTCCAACGATGCTCCCAACGCTTTTAGACCATCTTGCACACATAAATTTAGAACATGACATGCACATCGTTGATGAAAAAATCTACCCATCAAAGAAGTAGAACCACACAATTCACGCAATCTAGGAATAGCAGCATTATTATTAGTAGCATTATCAAAACCAATAGCAAACACCTTATCAATTAAATTATACGCAATTAAAATACGTTCAATCAAAATATAAATATGTTCAGCGGTGTGACGATCATTAAATTCACGGAAAGCAAGAACACGTTTATGCATATGCCAATCATTATCAATATAATGTACAGTCAGACCCAAATAATGTAAATTATGATAAGTATCCTCCCATATGTCAGAACATACAGTAACACGTCCATCAAAGTTTGCAAAATAATTTTGTAACCTTACCTTTTCCGCACCATAAAGCCTTGAAATTTCTTTCTTAACCGTTTTGCGACTATAACCTCTATATTGCGGATTTAAACAAGTTTGTGCATAATCACGAAAAGCAAGACTTTCAGAAAACAAATAAGGCAAATTTTCTTCAACAAGTAAGTTAGCCATACCTGTCAAATTTTGTGCATCATTGTATGAGAAATTACCAAAAGCTTGTTGGTTATTTGCAAACCTCGATATTTGCGTTTGTTTCCCCGTTCCGCCGCCTAATTTTGCATACTCCACCGGGTGTTTGGACTTAAGGTGTCTTGTGGCGGATCCGTATCCGCCGGAAATCCCCAAGCTATAGTTTTTCTTGCACCAATTGCAAGTTGCGGTCCAATTCCCGGTGTTCGGGTCCTTCCACTTAGAAAAATTATTAGCCATTAATTCAGATTTACTTTTTTTTGTACCTGTTTGGGATGAGGCTGCTTGGTCGGCGTCATGGCTGCCGCCACCCTCCTCCTCGTCGTCGTCGTGGCTCTCCGGAATTGCTTCCTCCACATCGTCGTCCTCGTCCTCGAGCTCTTCTTCGTCAATGGTCCTCGGTTGGTCTTGAAAAAAGCGGGAATTATGTCGGTGCAATTCTTGTTCTAGTTGTTCGTCGGTCATCGCATCCCCATCCCTCCTTACGTAACCCGTATCAAAATCATCTTGACTTTGAGATGAAGAGCCGAGATGTGATTTACCTTTGCGGGATCTCTTCCTCGCAAGCTCGTTCGTTCGGTTGCGCTCGAGGTTACCCATATCAACCGAATATCTAGGACGATCCATCTAAAAAATGTAGCAATTAATAAAAAATTGTAAAAAACTAATTAAGTATTTATCTAACTATTAATTCGAGTTATAGCAAATTAAGTAGTGAATTAACTAGTTTTGTGTACAACATTATTTTTAAACTAGAGTCAAATGTAGCAATTAATAAAAAATTGTAAAAAACTAATTAACTATTTATCTAACTATTAATTCGAGTTATAGCAAATTAAGTAGTGAATTAACTAGTTTTGTGTACAACATATTTTTTAATAAAAAAATTGTAATTCCAACTATATTAATAAAAAATCGTAATTCCAACTATATTAATAAAAAATCGTAATTCCAACTATACTAATTAACTAGTAATTAAACAAGTGTAAATAATAGAATAATTTCGTACCTCTTTCGGACTTTCGGTCTTTCGGATGGGAGTAATAGAATGACTTCAAATTAATTAGATATAATTCCAACTATATTAATAGATATAATAAATATATAAGTAATATATAATTAGATAACAAATATAAGTAATATAATACTATTTATATCTATTTATAATTTATATAAGTAGATAATTAATATAAACTATAAATAATAAATATAATATATTGGAGAATGGAGAATAAGAGAATTAGAGAGTAGAGAGTTAAGAATAGGATTTAGGAAGAATTGGAGAAGAGATATGAAAAAATGTTTAAGAATAGGAGTATTTATAGGTTTTTTTACCCCCCCCCCCCCCACCACCCCCCACCACCCAACCCCCCCGGACCCCCCTATAACCCACCCAACGGCTATATAGCCGTTTGGGTTGTCCCCAGCCCCACCCCCAACGGCTAGTAGGAGCCCAACCCAAAAAAACTTTTTTTTTAAAAAAAATTGATCGAACCGGACCCGGGCCCGGGCCCGACCCGGCCGGGCCGGGTCACAAAAATGCTGAACCGAGCCCGCCCCGCCCCTTCCCCCCGGTTCGGGCCCAGACCCGGTCCCGGACCGTCCGACCGGGCCGGTCCCGAGCCCGCACAGTACCGGGCCGGGCCGGGTCACGGGCCGGGTGGCCCGAACCGAATCCATCCCTAATTCAGAGACTCTATGTAAAGCTAGCTATCCAATGGGTGAAACTTACGTTTTACAATGACAACTCGTTGATCGGATCATGAAGGAACTACCAAAACCAGATTCAAGTTGTGCATTGTTTCTGCGAGTCAAATCTTGTTGCAGATAAGAAGGTCTATAGGCGAATTCTCTCATTGCCTCTTCCTTAGCGAGCTCTTTTTCTAATTTGGTCCAAACTCTTCTACATCAAGATGATGGTGGGCTTCCTAATATCCGTTCCTAACTACTTCGTCTTTGTCTTTTCAGAACCCCCATCAGATTCAAGGAAAGAACTATCTCGGTGGAAATGGGTGCCTCTACGGTAGCGAGCTACTTCTGTACTTCATACAACATCGTATAGTCTATTTCTCTTTTTATGCTTGATGATGTCCTTGCATTTTAAATTTTGTCCAAAGGGATGAATGGATGTTAGTCCCATAATACTAACAATCATACAACCATAACAATGATAAAGAGGCAGATAGAAAGATATGTCGAAGATTAAACGCGAATCTGGTATACCGTATGAAAACCGGCCGCTGCTCTCCCTGGAGAAGGAGAGCAGCGGCAACCCTACTCTCTCTATCTTTACGCCTCTGCGTCTCTAAGCCTCTAACTATCAGTTAGGGTTCCCGTAAGTTAGTCTCCTTTTATAGGAGAAGTTGGCTAAC